AGATGTCACCAGGAGCTTGTTTCGGATTTTGCTTGAGCTTGCCTGCCGTGGGCAGGTAGTTTGTGTCCGAAACATTGATTGTTTCTATCCCAAAGAGTGGGAGGCACCCGAGAGGGGTAAGACCAAGGCCACTCGGCAGGAATCTGGTTTTCTGGTCTTCTACTTTCTTACTTCTCTGGTTCTAAGACACAGTCAGATGACTAGGCTGGCCTACTGTCTCACCTCTGGCATGGGTGGTCTGTTGGCTTTCTTGTTTGGCATTGGACTCTACTCGGTGACCCCAGAGGACTGAGGAAAAGGAGAAAAGATAACTGTCACAGTGTTGCATTGGGCAGTAGTAGGTTTCATCTTTCTGGTAACAATCTAAAAAAATTCTGACAGACCGCGGTCAAGAACAACAAAGAAATAACAAAAAGTGATAATAGGCCAATTGTCATACTGTTGTCAGTTCGTGTTTGTGTGTATTGTGGCACAGTGTACCGTGTCCTCTGGTTGTATGGGAGAGGAGGAGGGAGAGGTAAAAACAAAAAGTTGTCAGGGACAAGAGCAAAAAGGAATTAGAGCTGACCAAGGCCACCCCCGTTGTCCCTAATTGCAGGCGGTGGGACCAGTGGCTAGTCATACCTCCACCCCAGAGAAATCCAAGGCCTGAACCATACCAAGGCCAGAGACAACAAAAGGCTAACAGGACTGATTGATTAATTATATTGTTTGTGGTTTTCTGTTTTCTGTTGTCCGTTCGACCTTTTGTCCCTAACCTTGTGTGTTTTATAGTCACCATGGGCCAGTCTGAGTCATATATTGTCTGTTCCCCCTTAAATGTATTTTTAAAAAAAAAAAATTTTCAAGACTTCCAACGACAAGCCAGACCCTACGGTTTCTCCGTTAACACTTTTGATTTGCAGAAATTTTGTGAACGAGAGTAGCCCAACATCTGTCTGATAGGAACATTAAGTCTCGCGTCCGTTATTTGTTCTGGGTAATTGGTCTCTTTGTCCTTAGTTTTGTGTGTCTCTAAAGCCATCATGAGCTAGTCTCAGTCATGTATTGCCTGCCCTATGGTTTCTCTTTTAACTAATTAAATTGTTTAATTCATTGTTTAAACCAGCCTTGTATAAAAAATGTTATAAGTTGTTAAATTCTGTGGTTTCTGCCTATGTAAGCCCCTGAGCCACAACAGGCTAGAGAGGGTTGCGAACCTCTCAGTCCTCCCCAAACTTG